CTTTTGAGGACACAGAACAAAACTGCCACTGCTCCTTCCCTCTCTCAACTATAAAGTATGCAAGAAGCTGTTTCAAGTCTGATTATCAAAAGGGCTAAGAATACTTCCCTAAGTGAGGGTACTGCAGATGTTTGCTGTTTCTTTCAAACAAAGCTTGTATTTCTATTTAAAACTTTTTGGAAAAGTAGTATGAGAATTAAGCAGATATATTGAAATTGAGTACTTTTCATTGTATAGGAACTATATTTTATTATATTACTAGTATTATTATTTATTATTGTTGTTATTGTTCTTGTTGTATCACATTAGGAACAACTGTGTTTTTCTTGATCATTACCTTCCATACAAAGCTGAATAAAATTCCGACAAGCTTTGGGAGCTTCTTTTGACCATAATTCAATATCAATATCTCCAGCTGTTGTTTTCAATAATACCTACAGAATAGATTTAATGTATGATTATGTGATCATTAGAGGTCTCAATATTTTTTAAATCAGTCTAAATACATAATTACATCTTCTGAAGCATAGATTTACTACATGTTCTCTAGAATGTGATATAACACAATCAACAGCAAAATAACTAATTAACAGAAAATAATATGGAAGCAATAAATAAGACATTGTTAATAAAACAGTAGTTAGTAATGCAGACATACTCTTGTACTTTTGTGTACAGTAGACAAATACGTTAAGAATTGGAACTGTATCTCTACAAGTTTATTGTAAGAGGATTTGAATATTTTAATAAAAAAAGCAAATAGAAATGTTTAGGATTGCACAGTTAGATGTCCAAACTGGTAGACAACTGAATTATAAGTATTTAATAATTAAATAATTAAAAGTATACTATTATAAGTATTTTTTTACTGGATAAAAAGTTAACTAATAAGGATCCTAAAATATGGCTCCGACGTTATTTTCTTTGTTGATTTGAGCAGTTTGTTTGACAGCCAAAATGTTGGGGAAGAAAGTTTTTATAAATAACTAAATTACAGGAAATCATGTCATACCTCTGTTAAAACAGTTGTTTAGGAAGCATAACCTGAGCAATATTTCAGAAACTATATAGAAAAACTGCCCATACAACTCTCTAGACTAGACCATTTTGCTACATTCTTAGCAAAGACATAAAACATTTTTCAGTTGCATGAAAAAGGTTCAGCTTTTCAGAATAAAAACAACCAATCACAAGAATAACCAATGACATCTCCTATTGATATTACATGGCCTTGAATTTGATCCAGAAGCAAATCAGCAACCATTTTTTGCTCCCTGACAACCACAAGTTCTACAAGCAAAGCAAAAAAGTGTTTATTAACAGATAAGATACAGCAGGGGTGTCAAACTCACGTTGTCATGACGTAATCATGTGATGCATTTTTCCCCTTCGCTAAACCGGGGGCGGGGCACGTGACACAACTGGTCCATGGGTCACGAGTTTGACCCCACTGGGATAAGGTATATACATTTGATATATAATAGGTGTATCAGAAAGTAACAAATCAAATTAAAAAAAAGATTGATGTGCAATAAAAACACATTATTTTTGTTAGGCATGAGAGTTTTATCATATAAAATGTTGCAATTGTGAGCTTGTTTCTTAACACTGATCAAGGACTTCAGAATACAGCCTCGTTATTTAATTAGTCATATCCTTTCCCTGAAAAAGCTAGTTTTGCACGTCAAAAGAAATATCTTTGTCTCAAAAGAAAAGCATGGTTTCCTAAATTTCAAAAGGAGGTATAGATGCCATGCTAAAATGCTAGTGTTATCTGTACTTAAATGGTAGCAGTGAACCCTAAAATTTTATAGATACCTGAGGTACACCTGAACTTTGGTAGCACTTCTGTATTAGCCAAAATGTCCCCACAGTGATTCTTACTATCCTTATCATGTGCAGAAAATATTGCAAGGGCCACAGGTTACAAACACTGAGGCTGTAATTTCTAAAAGTACGTGAAAGCCTAAACTGACCAAAGCACAGTAACAGTAACAGAGGTCAATGAGCTCATCTGATGCTATTTCTCATCACTCCTTTTCCACTCTTTTCATTAGAGTGTTTACCTAAAAAAAGGGATAGTAATATGATGGCTTTTGCAAACTTCCATTTCTTTCAAATGCTTTGAGGATTTCATTATTTAGTCACATAACTCAATTAAAACCTTTGCAAGGCTTTTGTTGGAAATAAAACGGTTTCTGCCATTGGAGTGAACAGATTTCCCTTGGCTCTCATTTTAATACGCATTAAGTCCTATCACAGCTATTACCCTAACAATGATTCCTTGGAGAATGTTTCAATCTAAATTCTTTACATTCATATTCTGCAATAAACCCTATTGAATTCAACCTGTCTAGTATTACAATATTGAAACCACACTGTTCCAACCGAGATATACTCGGGCCACGAGCAGGCATTTAATACAATTCATTTCAATTTAAGTCACATCGCAAATTAAGTTCCTACATTCGCTACAAACTGAAGCACTTCAGTGCTTCCCACTCAACCTGAAGCAGTTATTAAGCACGGGGTATATGAAAGCTCTTCCTTAGATGAGCGGAAGGACTCTCACCTTGCCGTTGGTTGGCGGTTCCTGGATGTAAATATTGCTCATGGTGAAAACTTCCACACAGCAGCTGCCCTGACAGAATATCTCACCCTTAACACCCACCCGGTGGGACTTGAAAGCTCGTCAATGACTATTTGGGACTCCAGCGGGAATCATTTCCCCGCCATGTTGGGTCATGGAAGACCTCATTTCTAGCCGGGGGGGGGGGAGAGACAGAAGATAGCGCCACCAAGAGAAGTCTGGCTTCTGATGTTCTCTTCAAGAAGAGAAAGAGAAATCTCCCTGGGATTTCAGGAAACGTCGACGAGCTAACCACCGCTCAGCGCGGCCTGGTATGGCCATTTTTTTTGCGTATTAGGAGGGTCCCCCTCTTCAGATCTTAGCGAGTAGTATGACCCGCTGTGCCGGATCTATAATCTTCCGACTAGAAACACTGCTCTAACTATTTTGATCCGCCTGAGAGCGGTAACCTCTTCCACCGCGAAAGCGAGGGAGACTTTTCTGAATTGATCTGCCTGTCCCACGCCTTATCCCCCCAACTGAAGGAAAGGAGCAAGGCCTACGGAGGAACACTATGGGGGAAAATCTTCAAAGGCCGCCGGAGGATTCAGTTCCTAATTCACCTAGGTGTCTATGGAGATTCTCAGTCATCCAGGTCATGGTTGTCCCAAAGGTTTTTTTTTTTTTTTTTTTTTTTTTTGCAAAAGGCAACTGGACTGTTTTTTCTTCTTAAAAACGTTTCGCTACTCATCCAAGAAGTTCTGAACTGAAGAAGCTTCTTGAATGAGAAGCGAAACGTCTTCAGGAAAAAAACAAAGTCCAATTGCCTTTTGAAAAAGAACCTTTGGGTAAGGGCTTCCCTGATAATGGAAAATCCCGACGACGGCTCGGATTATCCGGCTACATTCAGTATTATATATTCTTAGACAGGTGAAATCCAATTTTTTTTTACTATAGGCTCTGTGGCAGTGGCTTGGTGGGCGTGGCAGGGGAAGGATACTGCACCCCACTCCTGGGTGAAGGATATTGCAAAATCTCCATTCCCACCCCACTCCAGGAGAAAGATACTGCAAAATCTCCATTCCCTCCCCACTCCTGGGTAAGGATATTGCAAAATCTCCATTCCCACCCCACTCGGGCCAGCCAGAGGTGGTATTTGCCGGTTCTCTGAATTACTCAAAATTTCCACTACCGGTTCTCCAGAACCTATCAGAACCTGCTGGATTTCACCTCTGTTCTTAGATCAATTTAAATCGTTTGTTTCTGACTTTTCTCACATTACATGCTTAAGAGTTGCTCAGCACATAGGAAAACACCAACACCACCCACAAAAGACAAGTGCCAATTGAATCAGCTAGGATGTACCCACAACTGCACACTTCTAGCGTTGAGAGTCGAGTGGAGACTATTGTGTGCCGCTCAGATGCGTTAGGTGCATCAAATTCCCAGTATTCCTCCACCCCTCCCCAAGGAAGGATGCTCTGTTGGTCTTGGTTGACCCTTCTTCGGGTACTATATCTACAAGTCCACCGTTCCTTTTGAAACTGGTGTTTTCGTGGCCCAAAAGCAGAATAAGCAGAGGGCAAAAAGCGGCCGCTTATGAATTCAGTTAGCTTTAGCAAGATCTGAGGGCCAAATAAGGGAGAATATTTGTAAATCGGCGTTGAAACGAAGGATCCTTAGTGCTGAGTTTGCTTGTTTTCTTGCAGACGTTTCATTACCCAAACTAGGTAACGTCATCAGTGCTGGTGACTTAAAGAGAGCACCAAAGGACCCCTCAAAGATCTGAGACCGATGAAGTCCTATCGCCCTGCAAGCAATGAATGAAGAAGACAGACGCTCAAGACTTGCATCCTAAACTTTCAGAGTAACTAGACAGAAAATAAGCATTACAAAAACGAGCTTCCAACCTAAATGCAGGTGGGATGCACAGTAGATGCCGAGCACCAGTGTATTAACAAGACCAGGGGTCTCCAACCTTGGCCACTTTAACCCTTGGCGGACTTCAACTCCCAGAATTCGTCAGCCAGCAAAGCTTGCTGAGGAATTCTGGGAGTTGAAGTCCACAAGGCTTAAAGTGGCCAAGGTTGGAAACCCCCTGAACTAGACTGCTTTCTTAGAAAAAAACTAACCTTGGCTTATACCCATTGGACCAAGGTGCTGTCAATCAAGAGAACAGCCCATTGCCTTTTAGTGGGAAGGGCTCGAGAAGAAAACTCTGGTATTGCCGGGGGTGGGTGGCACAGTGGTCTCTCCCGTAGGACTGAATAACCTTCGGACTGACTTCAGACAGGAATCAACAAAGAGACAAAGGCGAATGATGGTGCTCTCCTTTTCTCTCCCAGCAAGCCAGGAAAGAAAGGCTTTTGCTGCTGCCCGCCTCTTAGTTCTTTCCTTAAGAACTCCCCCCCTCCCCCTACACACACTTGGTTCAGCCCTTCGCGTTTCGGGTCAGAGTTCCCCAGCGAGGAACGTTACCCCACGAGCTCGTCTGACCGCCGTTAGTGGAGGCTTAGAGGTGGGGAGGGTTGCGCTGGGCGCATGGCGTTGCCAGGTGAGCTGTTGGGGGGGGGGGGAAAGGGATGTGGAGAAAATCCGCGGGGTTCAGACGCGAGTCAAAAGCGGCGGCTTTTGCCGGAGGAGCCTGGGAGACGAGTGCAAGCGAGGAAGCCGCGGCTGAAAAACAGCCGTAGTGAATGAATTTGACTGCCTCTCGATGGCCGTCTAAACTGCCGTTACTTTTAATCTCTATTTTAAGCCTGGGTTTAATGAAGTCGCGGCCAGGGTTCCTTAAAAAGGTGGTCCGAGGACTCCCGGGGAGGGGGGAGTATCCCCCCCATGCCCTCTCGGGGATCCGTGACATCAACGAGATTTGCCAGATGTTGGAAGATATTTGCAAACGTTTAAAACAACGGCTCTCTTCCATTATTACTTTTTTGTTTGTTAAAAGTAATTCCCCCCCCCATGAAAAATACTTTTATTGATGTTAATATCTAATATGTTCAGGGTGGATAAAAATCAATGATTTTTTTTTAAAAATCAAAAAAATCAGATTTTTTTTTATTTAAATCGGATTTTTTTTTATTTTTATCGAATTTATTTTAATAAAAAACTTTTGGGGTAAAAATCTATCGTAAGATAGTTTTCTATTTAGGATACATAAATAATTTAGTTTATTCAGCATGAAATGGAGCTTAGTTATGTAGCATGAGGCTGTATATTCTGCAACACTGGGACTATCGGTGAGTCAACAGTGGGTCAAAGGAGTAGCAGAGATGACAGTTGCTCTTTAAAAATTATGATTTAAATCGAGTTGATTTAAATCAAGCCTTTTTACTAGTGATTTAAATTATGATTTAAATTGTGATTTAAATCAACTCGATTTAAATCAAATCCACCCTGAATATGTTTAATGTGATTTTTACGTGATTTAAACATCTACTGATGGGCCGATGTTAATTTTTTTAACACTGCAGATATGGATAAATATAACCCATGCAAATGAAAGCTTTTGAGGTGGTCCTCCGTAATCTTTAAAAGAAGTGGGGAGAAGGCCTCAGTCTGAGAGCAAAAAGTGTAAGAAACACTGGTGGTCTATCTAAATCCATCTAGAAAATGGATCGATAGATCAGTCCTATCCTTCAGTTTGTATTTGGGAGATTAGCCAAAGTGGGGATAAAGTATCATCACATATCTAGTAGACCATCAAGCCGTTTATAAACCATACTAACTGGAATTCCATAAATCATAAAACCGCAAACAAGCAAACTACATTTTGGCTTAAGGAAAATGCTGAAAGTCTTGTTGAATTTCTGTTCGTTTTGTATTGACATTTTCACTAACAAACTTAATATGCAAGGCTTTAATTAAGATTTTAATGAAAAGGTTTTCAACCCATTATTTAAAAAGTAAAATGGTTAGTCATTCTAGTATTATAAACCCCACGATTGCAAGTTTGTACTTTCAGTTTTATATTCTATTACTTATCCAGATGTTTAAATATTAATATTTGGCAGAAGGAAAAACCTTACACACAGACCTATGTAACTTTAGAGCATTTTTTAATATACTTCCTGTTAGATATCCTATAATTTTACATATTACGATATTTTGTAAACATATGACAAATTGAAGTGGGGAGAATCAGGAATTGGGCTGTTCAGTAATTCTTTCCAGAGTACAGAGCACCAGGATGAATTCAGGGTATATAACAGTACAGGTAGTCCTCACCTTGCAACAATTGACCCCAACATTTCTCTTGCTAGGCAAGACAGTTATTAAGTGAGTTGTGCCCTGTTTTGCAACCTTTTTGCCACGGTTTTAAACAAATTACTGCAGTTGTTAAGTGAATCATGTGGTTGTTAAGCAAATCCAGCTTCCCCCGTTGACTTTGCTTGTTGGAAGGCAGCTGGAAAGCTTACAAATGGTGATCACATGACCTTGGGACAGTGCAACTGGCATAAAAACATGCCAGTTGCCAAGCATCCAAATTCCAATCATGTGATCATGGAGATGCTACAATGGTTGTGTGAAAACCAGTCATAAGTCACTTTTGTTCAGTGCCATTATAACTTCAAATATTCACTAAATGATTGATTGTAAGCCAAGGACTTACCTGTATGGTTGACTTTTGTTAACATGACAACAGTATTTTGGATGGCTCGGAAATTAAGAAGGGTCAGACCCGATTAGTACTCTGATGAGAGCCATTAGAAAATCACAAACTGTACAGTCAAATTCAAAAGAATATCTGAAAGAAAGCATTGGTTATCCACTTCTGAAATGCTTGCGTGAAAACTATATGCTTGGAAACTTAATTTGAAGGACACCTTAGAGGCAGAGATGCTGCTGCTTTCTTCCTTATTTATTTATTTTATTTATTTGTTTAAATTTCTATACCGCCCTTCTCCAAATAGGACTCAGGGCGGTGCACAGCCTAAGTAAAAACAAAGCATACAAAATTTAAAAAACAGTATTAAAATAATTAAATATTCTGGCCGTAAATTAAAACAACCCAATTTAAAATCAATTTAAAATTTAGCTCAAGCCAGCCCAGCTAGTTGAAATAAATAGGTTTTCAGGGCCCGACGAAAAATCCGGAGGTCTGTTATTATACGTAACTCTGGGGGAAGGTTATTCCAGAGGGTGGGCGCTGTCACAGAGAAGGCTCTCCCCCTGGGGGTCGCCAGCCGACATTGTCTGGCGGACGGCACCCTGAGGAGGCCCACTCTGTGCGAGCGTACTGGCCGGTGGGAGGCTATTGGTGGCAAAAGGCGGTCTTGTAAGTACCCCGGCCCTAAGCCATGGAGCGCTTTAAAGGTGGTCACCAACACCTTGAAGCGCACCCGGAAGACCACCGGGAGCCAGTGCAGCTCGCGCAGGAGAGGTGTCACATGGGAGCGCCTGTTCTTTCATTGGGGCAATAAAGATGCAATTTAATTTAACATTTATGTTATGCCCTTAAGTGCATGTAGGCTAAAGCTGCTACAAAAGTAAATATTTTTAAAGAAAACAATTAAGACAAAAGGAGTTAGAAAAGGATTAGTTAATGAAACAGATGCAGCAAGTTAAATGTACTTGGTCATTAGTTTTCTAAGTAGGAAGGTATTGAAAAACAATATTTCCAGTTCCTATCTGAACAAGAAGTGGAAGAATGTACTAGGTTTATTATAGCCCTCCCAGCAGTTCTTGGACCTCAGATATCTAAGTGCTAATGGACATGTTTTAGCAATAGAACCAATCTGGTCTAGTGGTTAAGGCACCAGGCCAGGCTGATCTAGAGACAGATCTCATCCTGCATTAGGCATAAAAGCAATCCAACTCACCTCACTTCACCTCACCTGGGTGGTGGTTGTGGGGAAAATAGGAGGGAGAAGGATTACATATGTTTGCTTTGAGTTGTTTCATAAAAATAATAAAGGTGGGATATAAATAAATAAAAACGACATAGCTAGCTATAGAAAATACTGAACATATCTTTCAATATTTGAAGGCTATTACACTGGGAAAAGCTGTTTACACTTTTGATATATAAAGCAAGTCTATTTCCATACCCATGTAGCTTCAGAAAATTCTGTCAGCTCTCAAGATGGTCTTTGGATATAATAAGTCAACTCTTTTTTAAACTTGAAGCATCAACATAATTCTTTATTCACATCTGGCTCTTATAATTTATGGAGAAATAGATTCATGTAGCTATGTTTTTTTTTTTTTTTTAATGAATAGGTGCTCAGTTTATGCAATCCTTGGTCACACTTGTTTTTGTATTATATTTGAGTGAGTGCCTAAATGTACTTTCCGTGTACATCAGTACTGATTTTTAAAAATAATGAAGAATATAATAACCTGACATATTCTAAATGTTTTCAGTTTTACAAAGAATAGTTTCAGGATGATAGGATATCTTATTCTCCTATTTTAATTCACATGTTAATTGTTTGCCAAATTCTTTATAGTTGTGGTTGTTCCTGTTTTATGTCAACCAGAGCTCATCAGCTCCATATGTTCTATACATTACTAGAAAACAGTAATTTGCACATTGTGTGGAGTTTTTATGGGTGTCATTGTATTGTGCCTTATGCCGAATTGGCCTAGAAGTAGCACTAAGTCAGTATATAACCTCATGTGAGCTGCAAATAGAAAAGGCAGCTTAATTCTGCCAAACAGTCTAATGTAGAAAAAGTGGTCCTCTGTTGTAGAGCTTAATCTACATAAAAATGCTGCAAACCCAGGAACAACATTTTATTTAAGAAACATACCTGGCTCCGAGATTTAATTGATCAGAGCAATGTAACAAGTCACAATTTGGCACTAACCATTGTAATTGTAGGTGGCTGTTATTTTTATTATGCAATGCACAAGAAAGTAAAATTTACAAAATTATTATTGGGACTGTTGCATCAAGAAGTTTCCTGTACGTTGAATATTTCTAGAATGTCCACAAACTAATAAGAAATCTGTTTGGCTTTTTAGGTGGAAATAAGGATAATATCAGGGCAGGGTGCAAGAAATGTGGCTATCGTAAGTATCTACAAAGATGAAGATACAGTTCTGAAAATGAACAGGTTGGAACAAGTCTTCTTGAAATCTATCACTTGTATTAGCAGCAGCAGTTTTAGGGGGTTGGTAAACGTTTATTTTTTTCGCTGATTTTTTTTGTAGTGTGGTGCTTGACTGATAAGGAAATACTGAAATTCAACTTACTGAAGGAAAGAAGGGAAAAGTGAATTTCAATTCCTTATTGGTCAAGTGCCATATTAAAAATCAGTCAAAAAATGAATGATTTTTTTTCCAATCTTTATATCACTAAGTGGTTCTATGGTTTTACTTATCAAGACATAGTAATTTTGGCTTTCTTTTTGTAAAATTTATTGGTTTATTGGTTTGATTTATATGCTGCCCTTCTCCGAAGACTCAGGGCGGCTTACAATGCGTTAAGCAATAGCCTTCATACTTTTGTATATACCTGCTTAGTAGGGCTTTTGGGGGCCCCCAAGCGGTGTCCTTTTTTATACAAAGTCAGCTTATTGCCCCCACAATCCGGGTCCTCATTTTACCTACCTCAGAAGGATGGAAGGCTGAGTCAACCTTGATGATGACATGGTATATATGTTTTGCATTGTTGTTCATCTGAGGTTGTATTTACCTACTTTTAAGAATTGCTAAGGACCAGGTGTTTTTTATTATGCCCTAATATGTAAAATCATAGAATTCAAAGAGGGTGTACTTTCTTTTTCACATGACTGTAGTAGTATGGTGGAGGTAATGTGTTCTTTGCTAAATCAGCCTTAGTCTGCATAAGCAGTGGAAAGAGAGTGATGGGAATTGTTGTCCTCATAGTAGTTTGCTGATTTTGAAATAAGTGACCTAAGACTCGTTTGAAAGAAAAACATTCTGTCTAAAGAATAGAGAATCTGCTAGGGTAGAACATAATAGGTTGAACAAGCTTGTCAACCTAATCTATTACAAGGAACAATATATAATAGTCTTGCCAACAACACAATTATAAATAAATATATAAACATTTATTATTTACTGTATTTATTTTGAACATATATAACTGAAAGAAAAATGCAAATTATGTAGTTTTTGCTGATAAACATCACCAATGGATGTCACAACCATAATTGGTTCCATAACTTTGGTAGCAAACCGATTCGGTCGTGAACTGGACCTAATTTTGAAAATTTGGTGCTTACAAAAAAAATGGTCTGGAAGGGGAAATTGGCCATGGGGGAAAAAAAATTGTGAATTTTTTTGGTCGGAACCCAATTTGATTGTGGTCAGAAGTGTTTATGACCAGAGGTTATACTGCATGAGAGAACTTTTGTAGATCCTGTAATCATTCATTCCATAATGTTTTAAAGAACCTGCTGAAGATCTATTTTGAACACGTCTAGCTAATTTTAAGCAGAAAGAAGTTTCACCAATCCTAATTTACTTGGTGAACGGATCTTAGGTTATAACAGGGTGTCTAATATATGTGTGTGTGTGTGTGTGTGTGTGTGTCTATAATATATATATGTGTGTGTGTGTGTGTGTGTGTGTGTGTGTGTGTGTGTGTGTGTGTATAGTTAATATTTTGGGTTTCTTCCCGTGTAATTGTGGATATATCCCTAAAAGGGTAGAAGCGACGTTTCGGCAGAATCCCATCTGCCATCATCAGGCTTATGCCAGTAGTCATTTTGCACTAACTGACGTTGGAATTTCAAATCTGGTGCTGGTATTCTGGGATGGCTCCACCTTTTCATTCTGATTGGTTGGGAGTCCCAGTATGTGTTTATTGGCTTGGCTTCGGGTGTATGGTCGGTTTTTCTCCACTAGGTGGCAGGGCTTTATCTTTGTGGCTGGTTTGAATATGATTTGGTTGGGATTTTTTTGTGCAATGTTTGGTCCATGTTCCACATATGGTGTCAAGATTCGTCTATCTATGAGAGCAGGTTTCCAAATAGTAGGCAGACGTGAAGTGTCATCCCGTTTATTCATGCAATATGGTCTTTTTTCCATTTCTATTGCTTCTCTGATTATCCTGCCATTGAGATGTTCTATTTTTGCAACTGTTTTTGTTTTATTAAAATTAATGTTGTGTCCTGTTGTATTTATATGTTGAACTAATGATGATGTGTGTTCTTGCTTTTGTATTGAGTTTTTGTGTTCCTCGATGCGCACACTCATTCTTCTGTTGGTCTGTCCAATGTATGTTGATGGGCAGGAACCACATGGGATTTCATATATGCCTTGATCTTCTAATTCTATTTTGTCTTTGGGGTTTCTCAGAATGGACGATATCTTTCTATCTGTGCAAAATATGGTTTTGATGTTGTGTTTTTCTAGTACTTTGCTAATTTTATCTGTTGTTCCCCTTATATAGGGCAAGATGGCTTTCCCATTGTTTTGTTCCTCTTGTTGTTTTTTATTCTGTCTTGGTGTTGTATGTTTGATCATATTGATGACTTTATTTCTACAGAACCCATTTGATGTCAGTACATTAGTTAGTGTATATAATTCAGTTTGTAAATGTGCTTTATCAGCCAGACGTTTAGTTCTTGTGGTTAATGTTTTGGCAACAGAGTTTATTTGTGCTGGATGGTGGTGTGATTTGGCGTTGAGATAGCGGTTCGTATGTGTCTTCTTTTGATAGATGGTATGTCCTAAGGTGCCATCAGATTTTTTATAAATTAATACATCGAGGAAAGGGAACTGGTTTTCTGATTCTATCTCCATGGTGAACTTTATTTTGGGATGGAGGCTGTTCAAATGTACTAAGAAGTTTTCCAATTTATCTCTTCCATGTGGCCAGATCACAAAGGTGTCATCAACGTATCTGAGCCATAATTTTGGTTTGTTAACAGTTTTTTCTAAGGCATTGGATTCGAATTCTTCCATGAAAAGATTAGCGATGACTGGTGATAATGGTGATCCCATTGGTGCACCTTCTACTTGTTTATATCTCTGTCCTCTGTGTATGAAATATGTGTTGGATAAACAATGTTCTGTTAAGTTTGTGATATGTTTTGGTAGTTGATATTTGTTTTTAATTGATGACAAGGCTTCTTTGACAGGTATTTGTGTGAATAGTGATACAACATCAAAGCTTACAAGAAGGTCACTTTCTTTTATGTGTTGCTTTTTTATTATTTGTATGAAATGGTATGAGTTCTGTACATATGAAGCAGCAGATTCTGCGTAAGGTTGAAGATGTTTTGCTAAATATCTGGCTAGATTTTGTAAAGGTGACATATATATATATGTTTCTTTTATCAGTGCTTGATCTAGTTTTATATTGAATGATGCTGAAATAGAGCTAAAGCAATTTTGTTTAAGATATGATTGACCATATTGGTATAAGGATAGGTTTTTGTGTGGGAATAATACATTTGTAACATTACATGTATCGGTAAATGTTTAAAGCATTATTTTTATACCTATGTGCAAGTGTTTCTGAACAGCATTTGAGCTAGTTTGCATTCTGTTAGTGTCTTCAGTGGTTAATGGTTTGTGAATTGTTGATATGAGGAATACTAAAAAGAAAAAGGGAATGTGCTTATGGATTTTTTTTTATTGTTTGACTTGGCTTATAACTGAAAAAACTAGATAGGAAAAATCTTTCCTATTAACCTTTTTAAATTGACTTATATTTTCATATGCAACAATTTTCCACTTTCTTATTTCATATTTATTTCATAAAAATTATTATAGCTGCCCACTTCGTAATACATATTAGAAGAATTTTCTGCACTAATAAAGATTTATATTAGCAATGTCCATACTTTTTTAAAAATCAAAATCAAATTAAGTGAATTTTCTGAGAAGAGATGTTACAACAAAGTTACATTTTCTTGCTATTATGTTTATTATTTTGTATTATAGCTACGGTTTTACTATATACTCCACTGCAAACCACACCCACATAAAATACAACAATAGCATCCATTAACCTTGAAGAAACTGCCATATCTGTGTGAAAAATGGAAATGAAAATATTTTCAGTGTTAAGTATTGATGGTAAAAAAAACTACATGGATGTATCTATATAGATACCAGGAAATGAGCTTGAGTAGAAGGAGCCTTTACTTTTGGTCTTTTACCAAAAGGAGAGGGGAGAAATAAATCAAAATTTCCTGACTTTTATTTATTTATTTTTTTACTTGCTTGCTGAACGCCACATAGTCAATTGTACCACTTCTGTTGTTTCTTTTCCTTTCTCAAACTTTACTTAGCGGGTCATCTGACATTTGAGTGCCGAAACTTTCTCCGTGTAGATCCCAAAAGAGACATTGTTTTAGATGTGAGTAGCACAAGCAGTGAAGAGAGTGAGGAAGAGGAGCTGGGAAAACTTGATGTCGTTCCAGAAAAGCAGGGTAAGTTTGATTGTTTTATATTTGTTGTTGTTGTTTTTCGTTTGCAATTTTCTTTTCTGAACACCGGGTGCCCACGATACTGTCAGGATATCTGCCAGAAGAAGAAATGACCTTCTTCAATTATCTTTGCAGTTACTCCTTAAAGCTAGATGTCTCCTACTTCAAGAATCACTAAAATCTTAATCCCTCTAATTTACAGGTATTCCTGATGATGAAGAAAAGAAAAAAATCCAAAAGAAAAGCAAGGAAAAATCAAAATTAAAGAAATCAAGAAAAAGGTAGCAAAAAACTGAGACAGAAGTATAGGTAGTCCTCGCCTTACCACAGGTTTAGTGACCATTCATAGTTACAAAGGCAGTAAAAAAGTGATTTATGACCATTGCACCATCACACAATCAAAATTCAGATGCTTGGCAACTGATCCATATTTATGACAGTTGCAGTGTCCTGGGGTCATGTAGGGAAGTCAATGGGGAAGCCAAATTGATTTAACAGTGATGTTACTAACTTAACTGCAGTGATTTAACTTAACAACTGTGATAAGAAAGGTCGTAAAATAGGGCAAAACTCTCTTAATGCCTTGCTTTAAGAAACAGAAATTTGTGGCTCAATTGTGGTCGTAGGTTGAGAGTCAAATTGCTAAAAGCATATAATGATGCCCTGGCAAATCAGACAATATATTATTCTATTAAAAGGAAAAAGGAAAAAGGAAACAACATTTTGAGATACTGAAAAGTTTCTCGTACTTTCCTGCTTAGCTGGAGAAACAGTCCAAAAAAGAACTTTGTTTTGGGTAACTAGCCCAATAATGCTTGCTTAGGCTAGGTTATATTCAACCATAATGTGGTTGCAGGAAACTAGCTATTGTAGATTGAGTAGACCGTGTTTAATCAAGCCCTAACTCATAGTTTAAGCACAATGTGTGACTTCTGTTTCAGAATTCAGGTAGAAGTAGCTAGATTGTTCTCTGCTCCATTTCTCCTGTTTTTATTTAGTGCATCTGTACTTAACATCTGTTTCCTCTGTTTTTGTTCTTCTTTTAAATCATTAATTTTTTCATCTGTAAACCTTAGTTATCTTAGTGTCACCCTGAGCCTGTAGAATTTCTGTCTACTATATGGGTGATGTCTTTTAGCAAATTAATTCCCTATTAATATACTATCCCCAACTAGAGGACAGTTTCTCAAATAGAGAAAGACTATAATAGAATAAAATGTTATAGGAATGAAGAAAAGTTTCTTTGGTGTATTTAGCTACAGTAATTAGGTTTACCAGAAGTTTTATGTTTAGCATTTAGTGTTTTAATTATATCATAAACTACATATATAATCCTATGTTTTATAGATCTCATTCTTCAAGCATCACAGAAGATGATGAACCTAAATCAAAAAAGCAGAAATCCCATAAAAAAGAAAAGAAGAAAGTGAAAAAGAATAAATCTAAGAAAAGAAAACATCATCACAAAAAGGGAGGAAAAAAACACAAAAGAGGAAAAGATTCTTCATCTTCTGATAGTTCAGATTCTTCTAGCAATGACTGAAAAATAAGACTTAGGTTGATTTATGTCAATCCTAGTTCAAATAATGCCGCAAGATATATATACTCCTTAATAATTTATTTTAAAAATCTCTTTGTATCAAACTTTTTTTTTTGTGGGGCGGAAGGAATTAAGGTTTTCATTCTCCTTTGTGGGTTTCAATCTTTATTTGTACTTCCTGATTTAAAACCGTTTGAGAGATTAAAATTTTAGAAGTTGTTGCTTCTAAAATTTTAATCTCTCAACAATTACAAATTATTCATGAACAAAAGCCAGTAATTTTAGTTGTACAGTCCCATGGTTTTTTTTAACACTTCTGATAATCATTGGGTACCTGCAAAGAGACTGCCGTTCCACAGATTCCAGATCCCATTTATTTCCATTATAGTCCCAAAATGAGAAGAAAAAAACCTGCCCAATTCTATAGCAGGCATTTATGTCCCTTAACTGGGAACATAAGAAGTTCCACTTGCATCAGCATCCGTTCCAGTAGAAAACTAGCAGAGCATGAAACCAGTAATTTTCCCTCTTTAAATTCTCTTTTTTTTTTCTGCCCCATGGAAATGTTTTGTCATTGTGTTCTGTTATTAAGATACCGTATTTTTTGGAGTATAAGACGCTCCGGACTATAAGATGTACCTACCTTTTTTGGTGAGGAAAACAAGAAAAAGAAATCTGCCTCTGCCTCCCAGCAATTTTGCCTCGTAGCAAACAGCAAATAGCCTGCTTTACTTTCATTTTTGTTTTCAGCATAGCTTGATTCGCACAAGGGAAAAAAAATCTGTTCCCAGCAATTTACCTCCTTGCAGCAAGCACCAGAGGCCTGCGCAAAACAGCTGAGAGCCGGGAGGCTGATCCAATCAACTTGTGCTAACTAGGCTGTGCTGAAGCTGAAAGGAGCTGTTTCTTCTTGCTGCTAGGAGGTAAACTGCTGGGAGGCAGAGGCCAGAGGGTGGGCAGGACTACATTTGGTGTATAAGACGCACCTAAATTTTCACCCCCTTTTAGGGGGGGAAAGGTGCGTCTTATACTCTGAAAACTATGGTACATGTACTTTTATACGTTTAGTAAAACTAGAAGGGAGTATGTATCTTAGAAAATTTTGAAACATACAATCATTGCTACTTATAGCTGATGATTCTAGAACTAATTAAAGGAGTAATTAGTTCTAGAATCATCAGCTATAACTAGCAATGATTGTATAGTGTACGGCATGGAATGGAAAGAAGTGAAGATGTTGAAAGGCTGTTGTAGCATATTATAAGTTTACGTGGTAGAAGCATCTCTGAATCAAGACATAAGCCTGTGTGTGGGGGTAAATATTGGGAATTAAATGAGCAAAGTGGACATAGATTTTTAAGCACCAAGTGTTTTTTTTCTAGTAAAAAATCCTGTTTTTTAACCACTTGAACTAAAGATGAAAACTATTTTTATGCTGCTTTTTTATTTCCCTGTTGTTTCTTGCCATTTATTTGTATATATGAAAAATTAGTATATACTTTTTTGGGGGGGACCAAAGAAGTAAACATGATTGAATTTATAAGCTAAATGATTGCTTTATTGTGTTTAGTTTGCTGAAAAATTAAAAAAGGTCATTCTTTTACCACCAAGTTCTTCTTTTTTCCACTGGAAAAATGGTGTGAAAAGCAGTGGAGGGGAATACGTTCTATATTTTCAATAGTTCTGCCTCATTTGTTTTGAGGCTGTTTATATGATATTGCAGCATGTACCACTTCAGAGTAAAAGTTCCAGATATAATATTTTAAAAATGTTATCTTGGCAACATATACATAGGGGTGTTTATTAGATGCAGCACGTTAGATTTAAAGGGAGAAAGGTGCTTTGAAGTACATGGCTACTTAGTTGAGCAGCAGTTTGTAATATTGTGGCAATTAATTCTTAATGGTATTTATTATATTAAATAATTCCCCATAGGCAAGTAACTCTTCTGTTTGCAGACAGGGACATCTAAGAACCCAGCTTCCTGTATAGACAGTACACTACCTCTTACTATCAAATTGTGTATCAGATACTGACAGGCACTGTAAGAACTCATTAAACAAAATAGCTCAGGAATTTAAAATAAGATCTGTCTACTCACAAAACATCTTCAAATTAAGTGGTAGAAATTAATGCTTACCATCGTGGACATTCCTGCATCATCAGACATAAATAGTATTGTTTTGTTGCTGACACAAACAAACACATAATGAAGCTGTTCACAAACCTGTAATTTTGTGCTCAGAGTTGGAAGTAGGATTGCTTTATTCTACCTATTGCTTGACTATTTTGAATATAAAGGAAGAACCCCATCCCATACATGGAACAAATAGTGATGTGGGCATGATTTGACATGGTCAGTGAGTTGACATTAGTCAAATGGTGCTTAAAGTAGTGAAGTTCCCACTGCCACCACAAGAAAATATAGCAAGAGGGGAAAAAATGGCTGTCGCCTCAGAAAAAAGTGTGAGAGATTTTGTTCATGTTGCATTGACATACTAAACTATCACTGTAGTTAGGCAAATATTCTGTTCTGTCACTAATAGCAACCATGATATTGCTATATATTGCTATAGGAATCTATTGCTGAAATGTATAAGCCAAGTGTGATTGGCAGCTAATCATTGGCCCAAGAAAAGGTAGCTCCTCACATAAAATAATGTGGGAGGTGGGTTTCTCACCCACCCCCAACAACTTGCTTAATATCTTAAACAGCATGAGGTTCCAGTTGTCTGGTTTCACACACTAGGCTAAACCATAATGTTATTGGTGAACCCTGACAGTATCTTAGTGATCTATTATTATTCATTAGGTTTATAAGGCTGCCTATATCAAATACTTGATTCTAAGCAACTAATAATTAAAAGCTATAAAGTAAATAAACCAAACCATATATTAGCAGTCTGTCTCTAGAGGGATCAAGGCCAATAAATGCGGACAACTTTATTTTTTCAAGAGATCTAATTGGATGCAACTGGTTCAAAGCAATTGAATCCAAGTGCTGGTTTATTACTGTGTATAGATGCCACTACTCAGTTGGGCACATAGCAGACAAGCAAAATAATCTAGCAAACAAGATAAAGATAGAAAAGATGCTCCACATAATCCTAGGTAATTGTCAGGGCAGTAAGAAGAATTATTCTTAGCACCAGATCACCTCTTCCAAACATAGCATTTTCTTACTCATATCTTCCGAAGGTCTGAAAGAAGAAGGATCTGTTACAATCCAAGACAAAAAGAACCAAGGAATAAAATCCCAAAATCAGGGTCAAAGTTATGATTCACTCTGCCTCAAAGATTTGAAAAAGCCATGTTTTAAGGGCTTTCTCAAATGACAACAGGGTAGGGGATGTGTGGGTTTTGGGGGAGAACTATGATGGTTGGGACAGAACACTGCAACATTTTAATGATGAAATCTGAACTATGCCTGCTCTACTAGATCTAATAAGATGGGTATCCTGTTTCCCTGAAAATAAGACAACCCCTGATAATAAGACCAATCGGGCTTTTGAGCGCATGCGCTAAAATAAGCCCATCCACCCTGAAAATATTTAAACGCAGAGCTGGAAATCAGGTAAGACGGCAAGAGGAGTCCCATCTTGGTCCACGCACCCCAAAATAATAAGACTTTCCCAAAAATAAGGCCAAGCGCTTATTTCGGGGTTCAAAAAAATATAAGACAGGGTCTTATTTTCGGGGAAACACAATAGATGTATTGGGAGATGGGCAGTCCTGCAAGTAACCAGGTCTTGACACCTGATGGGTTTTATACATTTTCTGTTTGTACAAACAACAACTGATGTGTTCCAGGATGGCAAAGAAAGGATACTGATGTGGCTAGAGAATCTGCTGTGAAAGGGAGACGCCACACTCAGAATCACTTTTTGGGGACTGAATCCAAAGCACCGCATGTTCTTACCTGGTGGTTCTTTATAATAACTTTCCTCTCAGATTGTTACTTGTTACATCTGCTTGTTATAAAACATCTGCTAAGTTATCCCACCTCTTTTACATGGACAATCTGAAATTGTATGGAAAACTACCATCCAAAATAGAATTATTGCTCAACAATATCTGCATGTATAGCCAAGAAATTGCTATGGAGTTTGGACTGGACAAATGTGTCACACTCACCATCAACAGGGGAAAAAATAGTGAAAACCGAAAATCATTACAAATACTTGGGCATCCTTCAAGTTAACATAAAACACACTGAAGTCAAGAAAAAAATTACAAGTGGAGAAAATACCATCAAGGCAATTAACATTTAGGCAGTTCCGGTCATTAAATACATGACTGGAATAGTGGAATGGACTCAAGCAGAACTAAAAACCCTGAATAAGAAGACCAGAAAAATAATGACAATCATGCCTTTCATCCATGCAGCGAAGTTGAAAGTCTACTTAAAGAAAATAGGTGGGTGTGGAATGTTGAAGAAGAAAAGGGCATTGGAAGAATATTTGAAGGACATTGAAGAAGATGTATTGAAGCTAATATACCACAGGGGCTAACTGAATTGTGGAGACACCAAACTGGCCTGGCAATAGATATGAGAAAGAAAATTGAAAAAGATAGAACAGCTAATTCTGGCTGCACAAAACCAAGCCTTAAGAACAAAAGCATAGAAAGCCACCTCTGCAAAGAAGCTGAAGAAACGGGACTACCTAGTTAGCTGCTGGGACAAGATTGCACAGACTGACTACAAGCAACAGAATGACATGTAGCAACAATGTTATACTGAAAAATCTGCAAGAAATACTGTTTGCCTATCAGCAAGAACTGGTAGAACCATAAAATAAACAAAATAATAGAAAATGAAGGAGCTAAAGTTCTCTGGGACATTAGAATCCAAACAAATTGGCACCTCCCACATAACACTCCAGGCTTAACAACTGTCAATATGAAAGACAAGAAAAGTCTGAATAGTGGATGTTATGGTACCCGAAGACAGCAGAACAGAAGACAAAATCACAAAATACAAAGACCTTCAAATAGAAGCAGACCAACTATGGCAAAAGAAAGCAAAGATAGTATCAATAGGTACACACCTTGGGTACAATGCAAAAATAATTGGAACACCACTTGAGCATTATCGGTATTGACAAAATCACCATCAGTCAATTGCAAAAGGCAGCTTTACTTGGAATCCCTTACATCCTTTAACACCATCAAACAATATCTGCTACCCCAGGTCCTGGGAAGGACTCAATAGATGAATAAAAATGTCAAATTCAATCTAAACATCTGGCTGACTGTGCAACGAATGATTATAATAACAATAGTGACAATTTCAAGAATTTTACCATGAAAGTCTTTTAAAACATCTCTTTAAAATGTCTAGCTCAAGAGATTTTGAGTTAAGTATGGAAAACAGCATTTTGCATGTTTACAAGTTAAAATAAAAATAGTCAGCATGTAATGTTCTGCCTTTGTTTAAGTTAATTGTCACACACACTTCTGCAAGATATATAATTAATTGCCATTCCAACTAAACACTTAAGAAATGTGACTGTTATAATTAAGGACTCTTAGTAATTCTTTGTGCTGTCAAGAGTATGCAGTGCCTACCTTCTCAGAGGGAAGAGATCACCAGATGTTGCCATTTTAGAACAGCTTCTAATTTTTGTGGCTTTGTAAAAAGAAATAAATAGCAAAGCACCAGAGCATTCACGATGAAATCAACAAACATCAGCCCAGCAATGCCCAGTCAAACCCATATTAAAATGTAATTTGCATTCAAATAAACAAGCTGAAACGGGTTATCTTTAGTGGCATTGAATTATGCAGTTATTTTTTAAAAAACAAAATCTGCTATTCATGCACACCAATATAACTAACTGCTATTGTACCATTGTTTTAATGTGAGTTACCAACTCCTACCAGTGCATGCCAACCTTCCTCATTTATCAGCTGGACAATTCAAATCCAGGAAATCCCCACTGACACTTGCACAACATTTGCCCAACAACTTTTAACATTGATTCCCCAAGAAAGCCAAATGGGTGGCTGAACGCCCAGACATAGGAAGACACATAAATGACTCCAAGAAAAAGATGTCAGGCTTTGAACTACCACATCAGCCATTTATAATCTTGAATAGGATTCGCACCTCACATAGCATCTGCCAGGACTCTCTGTATAAATGGGGCATAGTATCCTCCCCTCAGTGTGACTGTGGGGTTCCATGTCAAACTGTAGGTCACATTGTGATAGGCTGAAAGCTAAAGGCATATACTGGTCCAGTACCTGATTCTTTTAATATAAATGATATTGTGCTTCAATGATTAGATGATCTAGACATTGGTATTTGAACATAAATCTTTTTAACATTTATATTTTATTGCCTTTTACTAATTTAGGTGAAATGTTTATATTGCTAGTCCATGTATGACATGCCATATGCTAAATAATAATAGGAGTTACTGTATTACTTGCTTAACCTGCACTTTAAAATAGCAGATACTCACAAAGAGTAAGATCCAAATATATTACGGTTCTATTTATTTTCTATTCATCCTTTCAGACTTTGTAACTTGCTTTGATTGGGTCTCACATACTTCCATCTTTCATACATTCCATTCTCACAAATACTTGGTATAAAGC